ATGGATATATATACTGTATATAAACAGTATATGTCATTGAAACATATATTATTGTAAATGCAGTCCATTCCACAGCATACTGAATGTGTGTGAATTTCTATCAATCCAGGCTTGTGCTATCTTATTTATTAATCATAATCATTATTATTTAATCCTCATTCATTCTGTAACACACACATGTACTCAAGTGAAATGGTGCAGCATTACAATAGATTGGATTCTGAGTGTGAAGGAGTGTGTGCAAAGCTAATGAAAACAGAATTTACAAGAGAGTGTGAGAGTGTCTGCCTGTGGTGTAGACTCTGCCTCCTACTGTCACAGTTCCCCTCGCTCCTCCTTGTTAGTATGGCCTACTTTTCTTTTACCTACTTCTTCGCTTTTTCCCAGCCTCCCTAAGGGAATCATGTTACCCTGGTGTCTCTCTTTAACCTGGGGATTTGTATCTAAAACCCTCCTTTGATTCCTTTTCTTCCCCGGGGTTTAATTAATGGCATCGTCCTCCAGTGGGCAGCTGTGAACTTCACTGGCTGAAGTTCACAGACAGACCGTAACGTCCGCCCTGAAACAACCAACACAGACACGAGACAAGTCAGTGGCACTGATGTTGTCCTGCATGACAAAAAAAAAACAACAACAGAGAGGACACTACTGTCAAACTGATTCAGTCAGAACCAGTTTGTATAGTACACACACACACACACACACATCTAACTGTAATTACGTAATCAACTATTGGACAAACTGCTCTACTAGGAGTTAACTCGGGAGATCAAAATATTTGTTTATTTGTGCTCTACTAGGAGTTAACTCGGGAGATGAAAATTGTTTATTTATTTCCACTCACTCACATTTATGACATTCTCTCCCGTTGTTGCACCTGAAGCTTTGTTATTGAGCATTCCACTGAAGAACGTTTATCTCCCTGTGATGTTGCTCTGGTGCGTAAGTCCACTCATCAGAAATATTTTGTTAAACAAATACTGCTTTAGTGTAAGGTTCTGCTGCATATACTTTTTTGTAACATCATGCTCAGCAATACTAAGCACAGCAGCTCAGGCCTTCTCTGTTGAGCTATGCTCCGTATATGAAGAGGATAATTTAATTCTGCTAAGAGTATTTGATTATTAATCAGCAGACGACACACTGTACAAGGACGTAGCACAACAACGAGCACTTCAATTCAGCTCTGAAACCACACAACACACAGAGGGAGAGCGAGAACCACTGACTACATGTAGACAAATATCAGATACCCGAGCACTCTCTAGGGGGAAAATACACATTTTCAAATTTACATTTTCAGTTGAATAAATCTGAAACATACCATGGATAATTACTACAACATTTAAACATAAACATCTTTCTAAACATTTCTAAACATCTCTCCTGTGTGGTGGAAGCTAACAGGGAAGGCCTCTGGTGCTATATTCTAATGTTGGTCATCATGGTGGTACTCAGTGTTTTCTCAGATGGTACAGAGTAGAAAAAGTTTGAGAACCACTGCACTTGACAAAGCCAAAGGACCATAAATGGTACACGTATCATAGTTAGTTAATTCCGGTTCCAACTTTGAGTCCAAACCTTAAAACCTTAAGGTCTTCTACTGAAACCAGGCCAAGTCACAGCCACACAACATGTTCATTCAGTAAAAGAGAAAGTAAAACTGAATGAACCTTTGCCATGATAAATATGTCTTCTACCCTGAAGTTGCCTCTGTGTGGTTAAAATACTGCGTCACATAATTCATCCTTCTCTTCAGTTAAAAAACAGTCCAAACAAACTAAAGCTGAGGAATGTCTTCTGACATCTTTATTGTTCGGGCTCGAAGTTGTTCTGCAGCTCAGTACAGAGTGATTGAAGTTGATCTCTTCAATGATTTTTTTTTTTTTTCTTTTGTTCTTGTTTAATTTCAGGAGAGTTATCGTGGCAAAAAAATAAGAAGAATAGCTATTTTATCTCCGTGTTATTGAACGACAAATTCTTCACAGACATTTTTGGACCTGGAGACAGATATATCACAACAGCGGGTTATTGCTAATGCTGCACTTCTGCAGCTTCATAATTAATGCTGTTTGTTGGTGTGCTTGTGAAATATGGCACATCACGCAGCCTGAGTCTCTGTTCATCTGCTTTTCACACACCTTTATAGTCAACAGGGAATCACAGAAAATGTAAAATTAACATTTAATTAAGTTATAAGATATTAGTACAGTTGCCGCACTTTTAATTCAACATTATTCCTTTTGATGGTGCATTATCTGTGTGATATTCACAGTGCTCTGTTTCCTAGCAACAAAACGTATGCACTGTCTGCAGTACAGTAGGTGCACAATACAGCATCACTGAACAATCATCCCCATCACAAACAGTAGGTGGATAAAGTTGTCAGTCACTACTGTTCATCTCAAAACGAACCTTCACAAGCAGTTAAACAGTTCGCTCTTCAGTCTTCGGTCCTCTTGTGATTTTATTTCTCGTAGTAATTCATGTTTTGCATCCATTTCTTTGTTGGTTTCACTTTACGTGTGGAACCTGATTACGATTGTATAGAATTCCTGCACAGATGAAAGAGCTCAATCAGAAGATCTCTGAACATCAACATCTCGTTGCAGTTCCTTTAAACTGCTGTGACTATTCTCACATTATCTCTTGTTGTAACCAGCAGCTATTAGTTTGTGTATGTATACTGGAACAGTTTATTTCTGCAATTTATTTTTGTTTTTTCAGCAGATGCAAATGTAATTACCACTGTAGAGCTTCATTTCTAAAAATAAAAGAATGTTCATCAATTATTTTCTAGAGTCACAGACATGGTTCGTTTGTCTTAGTTAATTCAGTGAAACCATTTCCGGAGCTTGTGAAAAGTCTATTAATTGCTCGGTGACCTGCTGCTGATGTGACAAGTTCTGAGGTCGTTTATTTAAATATGACTTGCGGACATTTGTTCAGCGTCTTCGCTGATTTTCCTCATAAAATAGATAAAAAGTGAAATAGTTACATGGAGGAAGTGTCTGCATTTAGCAGCATGTCATTTTGTTAGATGTCAAGAGACGGGCTGTCAAATGATGTCGACATTTTAACTCTTTGACTCTTGGTCACTAGACCTTCACCTTTGAAGAGAACATTTATTATTTATACATCTATATATATGTGTGTATGTGTGTTGCTGGAATATAAAGAGAAATAACAGTAGGTAGGTGTATGTGTTTCAGACCTGTTGTTATTTGTGACTAATCCTAACTAATTATTATCATGGAAAAATAATAGTGGGGGTGGAGCTTGATCATTTGTATTGTATTGACAGTGTAACCGTTTGCGTGCCTGCCTTACACACTTTGTTCTGCCTGACAATCTTCTGACTGTCCTACAGTAAACAGATACATTAACAGTCAGGATTGATGGTAGATTTTTTTTTACTTCTATAGACAAGAAGGCAGACACAGTAACCTGTGTCAGATGGTGATAAAGCTGCTCCTTTAATGCCCCCTCCATCTTTGATGGGCCCATACACTGCCTCCAGAATAGGATTTGACCATGTAAGCAATAATCTACAAACTTGAGTTCACTTCCCACTCTCCTGGGTCTCATTATTTGCGGTGCACAGGTTGAGTTTGGCACAAACAGTGTGGAATAAAAACTCACCAATTAATTATTGTCACGTAGGCCGGGGTGAAGGTGGGCTGTGTCTTAAGTGTTTCCCGGTTCCAAAAAAGGCAGAGAAACTGAAAAGATTTGAGCTTCTAATGACTGATTAAATCAATGAAAAGGCTTTCATGGCTGCTCGTCCGATTCTCTCCCCATAGAAACAGATGAAAGAACCATGTAGGCAGAAATAACCTGGAGATTTTATCTCACTGTGTTCCTGTGGGACTGTTTCGGACTTGTGATTGAAGACAAATGTTTCCAGAGCCATTAGACAGACTTCTTTAATTAGACCATGAAGTTATTATACTAATGCTGTGCATTATTTGATAGGGTGATTAAAGTTGTTCAAACAGAAAAGAAAAATCAAAGAGACTGTCATGAGAAAAGCTTATATTATCTTATAAGGCTGTGCGTTTTCAAACACTCGGCTCTGTCATCTGCCTGAGAAGATGATATATTCTTCCTCCCAGTGAGATCATCTTCTTCTTGTGTGTGCATTTTGCCCAGCCATACAATGCAATAACTCGTATTTCAAAGCTTTATGTGCGACAGGCACACTGTATCAAAGAAGCGTTGAGAAGATGAAAAATCCTGAGAGGAGGCTGAACAAAGAGGCCGAAGATTCAAGTAGCAGCAAACCATTAATTTAAAATAATTTCATGTTTCCTTCCAACCACTTGCTGTCCTTTCAGAGCTATTATCAGAACAGTCGTGGCAACATGTTATTCCAAAGCGACCGCTATTGTCTTCTTCTTTTCAAGTGTCACATGGAGTTTTATAAATGTGGGGTTCACACAGGAGAAATATCTAACTGAGAATTTGTTTTTTTAAGTTCACAAAGGCGTCTCTCTGTGCCTCGTGCTGGAGCAAAGCTTGTGGGTTAATTTCCTGCATTCACTTTGTAAATACAACATAAAAGTGTTGTACAAAACAGCCACTAAACAGAGTAAATGCAATGCCCTACAGAATGCCCTACAAAATTGTATCACAGAGAGAAACGGATGTGGAGAAACGCAGTGTCTTCCTGTGATAGAAGGAAACAACAGGCTGAAAGAAGTAAAACAAGAGAAAATTAACCCCTTTGTTTCAATAAATACTATCAAAATTAACACATTAACTAAAATAACTATTTGTGAAATTTATCAGAATAAACATTTGCAAGTGCATTTAGTCATCTATTCACTTGTTATTGAAACTCAATTGATTAATGAGCACTGCGGGAAAGAGGTTTCGAAAGAGTTTTCCTTTCACAGAAGCAACTCGAGCTTAAAATGCACATATATCTGCTTCTATTTTTCTATACTTTCCAACAATTTAGAGAAAAAAGGTTATTCTCATATTCCGGAATGTCTTTTGATGTCTCCATTAATCGTGATTAATCGTGGTTATTTTTAATCTTTTACAGCCCTGGTTTTAATGCTTAGTACAAAAGAACATTTTGACCCTTAAATTGAACCTTGCATCGACAGAAAGCTTTGTTCAAAGAAACATTTAATGTGTAAAAAACAAAACAAAAATAACAACATAAAAGAAGAACCTAAAGAAACCACATTAATTGAAATCACCCAGACCTGTTAATGGACTGTGTAACTGTTCTTAATACAAATAAATCTTCTGGTATAAAAAAAAAAAAAAAAAAAAGAAAAGAAACATGCGTTAGACACTTCATTAGTTTCCATGATGTTTTACAAACACGTAGTCAGATAGCCAGGCACTGTATCTGTTTACACATTTTCCCCAAATGTAGGAACTGTCAGGACATAAAGCATCAGGACATCATTAATCTATTTAATAACATACATTAACTTGCCATTTAATTTGGTCAGCACTCACATTTTACTCAGCAACGTAAATGGTGTTGAAAGGAAAAAAAAGAAAACAGAAGAAAATACAGAGATTAAAAGCAGCATTGAGTCCACAACACAAATGACCCTACAATATTTTCCCCAAGACATTAGAGGGGTTTTATACCGCACAAAGCCTACTAGTAATCTGTTCAGCGAGCTGAGCGTGATGGAGGGAGATATTGTATACTTTTCCAATTAGATTCCCATTTATCGGAAAAGCCTTACAATTCCCTGACACCTTCCCTGGTAAAATGAAAAGTGCCTGAGGATGACGATGTATGGTAATGAATTTTCTCGATGGTCGCTCCATTAGGGATATCACCTCCAGGGGGCATGTTGTACAATCCTCTCAGGGGCATGCTTCATCTTAATTCCCCTCCCTATACCCCTTCACTAAATATGACCAAGAGAGGAGCTGGTGGCAGTGATGGAAGGGTCATCCAGGATGACTGCGTGCAGGCAGCCCCCCCGACTGAAACGTTGGCGCTGCTGCTGCTGCTGTTAGTGCACACACAGGTACGCTGAGGGCAGTGGCAGTCGTGGGTTAGCTGGTAATACAGATCATGGCCTCACTGAAGCACAGATAAACAATCACTCATCACTAGACCTTCACCATTGAAGAACAGTTTTTTTTTTTAAACGCACAACAGGCTCAGGCCCAAACAACTGCTTACAACGCTGCAACTGAGTTTTAATGCATTCCAAAGATATATATCTATAATATATATAATTTCTCTTCATTTTTTTTAAATCTTTACATTTTTTTAGTTAACACAACACAGGATGTTGAAACTTGGCATGCTCGAAATTAGCAGAGATCCTCTTAACTGTGACTTAACGAGTCAGTGGAAACCTGAAATAAATTAATGCTCGACCTGGTACATGTTTATTTATATAATCATAAATTCTTGAAAATTAAAGTGATAAACACATAAAAAATCCTTGGATGATGTCTTGTATTGTTCCCTGGTGATGTTCATGTATATAGGTGTTAGGATGGATTGTATTTAAAAAAAAAAAAAAAAATTGACAGACAACACTGACAACACCTGAACATATCATTGATTAGAGTTCAGTTTGATTTGGCCCTGCACAGAACATCAGAGGAGTCTTCAGGAGCGGGCTTTACTGTAATGTAAACACTGAAAATAAAAAGGCTCAATCTTTTTTTAGGAGGGGCCTCTGCCATGCAAGTATTTTCATTTTTTATTGTTGTGTATATTCTTGTGAGGCCAAAAGAAGATTGAACCTTTATCAAAGTTTATCTTCTCTCTCCTGTTCTTTGTCCGTCCCCGCTCTTTTTTATGTTTTTTTTTTTTTCTCACCTCCAAGGCCGGTCCTTGAGCAATGCGCTTCAGATCGCCATCCGTACTTCAACAACAACAACAACACACCCATTCCTATTTTTTATTCCCAGCCCTGTGAAGTTCCACTGCATGTTGTCTTCTCCATTTGTCGGGCTGGAAAATCCTGAATTACGACAGAAGGGTCAGTCTTTCAGATTAGATTCCGTGGTTGCTGTAGCTGATGTAGGTCTGCTTTCTCGGGAACGCTGAAAGAGAAAAGGAGAGGGGAGATTGAGGCGAGGTGAACTATGGTGACCTGTCATGCAGAGATTAGGATACGTGACAGCTGATATTTTGTTGTGAGGAAGATGAATAGCTGAGGAATTCTGTTGGGTCGCTGACTGCGTCACGTGCCAGAGTAAAGCACAACAGGCAATTATTGTAACAACGCCTTTCACTGTCTGGGCCACATACATCCTGTGTTACCCCACAAGAAATAGGGGCGACTCCGGTTTAGTAATACACACGCCCCACCCCCACCATACCTCTTCGTCCTAGTTTGTCTTGCTGGACCCTGTTAGTCGACGCACTGGGGTGGAGCAGATATATAAATCCTGACGTATCACCACCAGATCAGGGCATTTGTGGGAGCTGGGCAGGACAGGACTTTTTCAATTTCATCAAGCCATACATCCATGCTGGCTATGACAATGACAAATGGTGCTTATCCAAATTGCCATGCACTGTACGGCCCCCTATAAACGCTAACCCGATCGGGGTAAATTGCTCCTGGCTATCAATTCTCTGTCTTTGCTTTTTGGCCACTTATTGTAACAAAAGGCGCCGTCGACCAGCAAGAAGAAACACTTGGAGCGAGGCTGGAATTACGCTGCCATGTGCGGTCATGTTGATGAGGCCCAGAGCAACAAGACGCTGTTACAACAAAGCACTGTAATACAACGTATATTGATTTATGCTTCATGTCACACAGGAACATATGCCAGGACTCTGTTTACTCCAAAAAATGCTCTGGTCTCTCGTTGGTCTGAAAACACTGTAAGATGTGCAGTGGTAGTCTGGAGTCACTGTCAGTACACAGGGAATGGACCTCTTAATACAGACATTAGTGTGACACGAATGAATGAAGAACAGGTTGTTTTCTCCTGATTAACAGTTGACTATAAATCTAGGGCTGTAGATGAAAAGTAGTTTAGTGATAATTAGTGATGGCAATCAGGGGATAAAATATAGCAGAGAAAAAAGTAAACAATTATAATAAGGATGAATTATAATGAATGATAATAATATAGATTCAGAACCAGAAAAAAGAAAGAAAGAAAAAGAAATTGCCCTGAAAGAAGTAGCAAAAGAAGCAAACTAAGCAGAGGCAGAAAATGAAGATATGAATGCCTGTTTATATCTGTCCGCTCTCCTGTTCTTACTTTGTGAATCCAGACTCTCACACAACTCGGTCTTTGCTTCTCCGTTGGGTCTCAGTTCGGCCTTGGGGTTTAATTTGTTGGACATCGTGGCAGCGGTAACCACCGCCTTCAGGCTGCGTGTCCGCTTGGGCACATTCTGCTCAGGATGGAGGAGAACCTTGTAGACCTTGGGCATGTACAGCAACCCCAGAGAGACTGACGCACTCAGGCTCACCGAGATGGTGAATGTCATTGTTTGGATGTACATCTGCAAAGACAAATGAGGGGAACAAAAAAAACATATGGAATGTCATGAAAAAGATAGATTTTATCATTTTGGGTCCAGATGATACATCGTTTTATATATTTGTCACTGTTACCACAGCAGCTGTTGTGTCTTCTTCTAATTAAAGCATCCGGTGACCCTCTGATGGCCAAGCTGTTTTTACAGTCCAAAAAAACGGCTCTACACTATATGTAATCTGCAAGTGATGAGAATACATTTTGTTTTAATTCAGCGTGTCATCATTCATGGCTTGTGCTGGACTAGACGTGGCCGGCTTGTTCAATTTTCTGCCATGCTGGTTTAAAAATGACCGTCATGTCGGCTTAAACTCAGTGTTATTGAAGCCAGAGGGTTGGATCCCACTCTGAGGGCCCACAGAAAGAGAAAAGGAGGCCGAAGAACATTTTCCACTTGGTCACATCTCTTTAAATTAGAGGGTAGGGCAACACTAAGTATCATTCTCCCTCATTCCATTTTAATTGTTTCCAAAGCTGCAGAAAATTAATGAGTTGTCTTCAGGGGAGGCTCATAGGAGCATGAAGCCCTGTGTAATTTCTGTAACTCATAGAACATTGTTCCTGCTTGACTAGCCGTCTGAAAGAAATGAACTTGGAAATTGTTAAAGAGAAGTCGCAGGGCAATAATTTTACACATTTAACAACCTGCTCTGAATTGAAAAGTTCCTGAGAACAAGGAGACCCATTTCCGTCCTGATCATTTTCTTTCACATCAAGGAATGAAGAGGACCTACATCTCCACAATCTATCTTATCACCATTGTTGCACTTCCTGCTCCTTAATACACATGTATAATAGAGTTTTCCATTAAGACACACATCTGATTTGTGGATTACGCTGTGGCAACCCCTGACAAAAGAGACAAGATGAAAATAATTTTTCTACAAGCATATGCATTAAGACATTCTGTCAGTGTTCAGGAGCAGAGTGGTATTGAACCCAGAGCCTTCTGGAGGCTGGTGGACTATATGTTCTAGCTCTGAACACTGACGTCTGGTCTATTGTGGGCTGTTTGTCAGTTTGCCTATTGTAGTTAACATTCCCTCGAGTGTCTGTAACAGGACTTTTGTTGCTAATGTTAGCTCTGGTGACCGTACTAGGACTGTTGTTGCTAATGTGAGCTTTGCTGTCTGTACCAGGACTGTTGTAGCTTATGTTAGCTCTGATGTCTATACTAGGGCTGTTGTAGCTAACATTATGTTAGCTCCGATGTTTGTACCAGGGTTGTTGTAGTTAATGTTAGCTCTGGTGACCGTACCAGGAATGTTGTTGCTAATGTCAGCTTTGGTGTTTGTACTCATACCAACATATTTTACATGAAGATGATATTGTAGGCTTGAAGCTCTGCCATTGTTGAAAAACAAAATACACGCCAGACAAATCAAACATCCTGTATCTTCTTCTATCATTATTCACCAATCTCGTGTGATGTCACTCAATGCGTATTGTGTGTATCTGTGTCGGACATTATTTTGGTGCATTACTTTGACCTTTAGGCTGGAGTGTGTGAAGAACTGTAAGGGATTTCATAAAGTACTGTTATTAATTAATCTATATAAACACATTAATATTTTTTAATTATATGCCACCACCTGATGCTGGTAAAATAGCTGCCTCTTTTGCAGTGCTATCACTTTGCTCAGAAGCAGTCAGGGAGAAAAGAAGACACTGCAACTTCATTGCTCCTCTCCTTCCCCTGTATTTACACAACAGTAAATCTAAATTGGATAAAAGTGTGTGTGTGTGTGTGTGATGGTAAAGTGTGTGTGTTTGGCTAAAGTTTGCCGTTGTGTAAATCATTTTATTCACTTGCAGTCGGAGTAAAAAGTAATTGCATCTCTCCAGTGCGGGCACTATTTTGTGTCTTTTTCTGCCAAGCAGAAGTGAATGTGTTTAAGTGCTTCTGTCACCGCAGACTGTCTCAGAGGGAAATTAATTTTGTCTGTGTGCGTGTAGAATAAAAATGTGTGAATTTAAATATTGACTTTTGAAAATATTAGCATTAGGTCTAAAAGGTTATTTTGTTTAAACTGTTATTGATTCCTTTTGAAGTGAAATATATTGATCGTGGGGAATTTAAGAGTTAGTTACCCCTAAAAGTATCGAACATACTTGATACCATAACCAAATAATTTGTGATCATTATCCACAGCGTATGAATTTTATTTTGTAAGCATAATTGAACATTGTTGTTTTTATTATTACTACTACTACTATTACTACAACAGATGGATTCTACAGCATCTCACATGGGGGCTTTTGGCTGGAGAAGGGACGGGGAGGCTTGGGGCAGGATGATGGAGGGACAGCTGCTCTGGTTCCTTCTCCCCCAGCTTTATTTGTTAACCAGTGAGCTGCTCTGTGCTCATTTCACTGCAGCCTTAGGGGAGAGTCTGTTGAATTCCAGCTGTTACTCACATATAGTCTTCTTCCCTCGGCCGCTCCCTTAAGGAGTCAGTAGTGTAGTTTGTTGGCCTCCGTTTTACCCAAGCTTTTGACTGTTTGTCTGCTTTTATTGTGTCCTCCACTTCTCTGGAGTCTTCCCAGAAACGGAGGAGCAGCTGACTCTTTCAGTTTTGCTTCTGCAATGTAGCTCGCTCTCCAAATCCTTTGCGGAATATATTCACTCTATTTCCTCAACACGTCTAAACAATCCTCACCTCGTCTCTCTGACTTTATCTGAAAGCAGCTAAAACTCGGCTGCTCATCTGCATTGGTTGTTTCATTGGGTACAGTTTTTCCTGACCAATCCATTAGAAAATCTTTGCATCTTGATGCACATCCCTCCACCACAGCTTTTCTACTGTTTTTGGGAATGCTTTTGTGATTTGTTTTTATAACAATATCATGGACCTTTAGTCAAGTCGTCAGAGCACTGAACATATCCATAAAAACACACATATACAGAGGTGGCACCGGTGAGGAGAAGCAGAATTTATAGCCTACAATAAAAAAGGTGCTACATAACAGCAGAGGATGTACTTAAAGTAATTAGATCTCATTAATCAATGCCAAACCAGCTTCCACCTTCAGAAATGACCTAATGGAATACATTTCCTATAGCAAGGCTCTTTTTATGCTGGCAACAGAAACAGTATCTTTGAGCTGTCTTTTGAAAACATTGGCAAGAAGTGAAGGAGACTTCAGTGGTGCCAACAACGCCCCCCTCCCTCCTCCACCGCCCCTCCTGGTCGGCCGTTTTCTTGTCCTGGCAAATTAGCAAAGTCAGGACACAAACATGTCACATCAGAGTTGTTTGGGGTGAGAATGAATCCAGGTTAGAAACACTGATCCTTCAGTATCTGAGTGTGTCCCTAGTGCAGGGGTGGGATTGAAACTAATAACCTTCTCAGTTTGAGTCTCATTTGATACAGTCTCTGCATGGCCTTAAATTTAATGAATGTCTGTAAATGAGAAGTCGCCTTTACATTGGCCAGAGCCAAATAGAATTCAGTGATCTTGCAGAATTAATTCAAACTGAAAATAAGATGTTCTTAGGGTTGTATATTAATTTAAATAAAGTCATGATTAATCGTGATTGTAATTAATCCTTATTGATCAAATCAACAATCCTAAATTAAATAAAAGTCAAATTATTAATTCCAATGTTTAGGATTGCTGATTTATCTCAATTAATCATGATCCTCACTCATACCTTTAGAACTAATTGTGATTAATTGTGAGCTAGCTGTTAGCTGACTGCCTAGCTTAGCATTGTGAGGGCAGTAACATTGGTTACTTGTTGTCCAAACCAAACCAAGGGTCAAACCATAGTAAACAGATGAAGAGATACTGCTGCTATTGACAACTAGGTCAGACCTTCTCTGCTTAAGGCTGCAAACCTATTAGGATTGCATCGTTTCATCCTACATGGAGCTTCTGTGTTAAATCTCAGCATGCTGTGTAAACAGTCTGCAGAGGGTCTTCCTGCATGAGACTGCTCTATAATTGCAGTCTAATTAAGTTTCTAAACAAATAGAAGCCTGAGGAGACATGATAATATACCTTTGTGGGAGAATGTCATCGAGCAGGATTACAAATGTTTGGCCTTCATCAGCCCTGAGTGTCTGTTCACCCATTACTGAAGCACCCGAGGGTCAATAGCCAGGATCCTATGGGCCACTGTGATATAGCTTTCATGAACGCAACAGCTGCTCCAGCATCAGTCTTCGTTGCATGGCTCAGCTCCTGAGGGACACTTTCTGTGAATAATGCTGTTTGTCTTTGGTAAAGAAATGGAGTGGGTGAAGAAATGGAGCGACCTGCAGACCCAGCACACTCTCGGTCTGACCGCTGCGATCAGGTTGAACTCTGTACAACTCCTGCTTTGGTCTAGCTAGTGCACTAACAGCAGTTCTCTGCTGTCAGGGCTGACGGTGCCAAAGGTGTGATAGAAACTTTATAGAGAAATAAACAACATCACTCAATTTATCAGATCGTTGGCGCTCCTCAGTGGCAGCTTCTCTTTGTGCAGGCTGATTGAATTTGAATCGGACCTTTTGTGCCTGTGCCTATTTCCATGCAGGCTTTTGTTGGACGCTCCTCCTCCCGTCTTTGTCTCAGCGACAGCCACTGATTTAGACCGTTCAACAGGTAAGCAGGTGTCACCACTACTTGTGAGGCAAACACGCACGGTGTTTGACGAACACGCTCTGCAGTCAGACCAGATGTTCACGTTTGAATGACAGGAAAAGCCTTGTGTGACATTCCATACACTTATCCTTGCACCGGATGACAAATAAATAACTGTGTTTGCCTGGGTGACTAGATAAGGTAAATCTGGACACTGGGGAAGTGAAGCATTTAATTAGCAAGAAAGACACATGCTAACATGTGCTGTGAGGTTTTGTGTTACCTGTCAGTTAGACTACCAGAGTTATTACAGGGTGTGTTTGCCTTCACCTGTCATTTAAAAAAAAAAAACATTAGCCATGCAACAGCTCACAGAAACAGTCACAGGGTATGTGTTGTTCTGTGTCAAATATCAACACTTTGGTGTTAAAAGCACTCAATATTAAACAACAAAAAATGCAACTGTACTGACATTAAATACACTGTACTTTTTGTTTATTTAAAACAAAAGTAGAGCAGACTAATTCTTAACAACGGGGATGTTTTCTAACCTTCCTGGGGCATTTAGGGTTATGATGATGATGATGATTTAATTTGTTAAAATGTTCTTTTTGAGTCTGGCACAGGTGGGGCTAAAACAAGCTTTTTGCCAAGGCTGAGCAGCTGCAGCATCCTGGCTCTCCAGTGGTCCATATCTTGGACTTAAAAAAAAATTAAATCTGCCCTTTAGCTTCTGAAGTTTATTGTTGACAATGAAGCTTCTTCTTCCCCATATTTGTTTTATGGCGTAATGTAAAATTAAAGACATGCCTCGGTTAGACTGAACTCTAATGAAAATAATGGGCATGATGTAAACCGTGGATTTATTTAACATTTATTATTATTATTATTAATTAATTAATAATATTATTATGACGTGTTAAATAAATCATAAATAAATATACATGTATAATAATAAATAAATAAAAATATATAATTAACAACCATTTAATGGAACATTAAATGGCTCTCATTCCTAGTTATATTCACAATAATGTTATGTAAGAGAAATTAAAGATTAAGGTCGTTTGCTGATAATATCTTATTCTAACATTTTATTACAATTTATTTTCACCTTCATTATTTTTTTTTTTACACAAGGACAGAAAAACATTATTGAATCTTTGTCTTCAGTTGTTAAATGTTTTATCTGGAATTTAAAAAAAGGTAGAAACAGAGAGAGGAGCTTTACTTAGCCCCCAAAATATTATTTCAGTTATTGTTTGTTATAATTCAGAAGTGGCACTTTTGCATTACCTCATCCCTATGAAATGCTGTTCAATTTCTGCGCGGTTGTATAATTCCCTTTCATCTTCAGAGAGAAGAGGAGATGATTAAACAAAGAGCGTTGCTCTGACGTCGGCATCTACTGATGCTGCTGACGAGCGACTTAGGATGTGCAACAAGCACATTAAAAAGTAATGTGGACTTGGACAGCTTTTTCTGCTTCGTGTATGCTGGGTTTTTATCACCGCGGCTGTGCAGCAGTAATAATTACAGCACAGTTGTGAGGCTGTTTTTGTAAATGCAGCACAAAACAGTGAGCCCTTGATGAGCCTTTTGTTTCGCAATGTCTTAAAGCTGTTGCTACAAATGAGATTTTGTCCTTTGTCCTGGTGTTCACACATGGACCTGAGCAACTGCCTGAACGCAGGTTATTATGAAGCTGATCACATGCTGCATGATTAATATCACATAATAGGTTGCTGTGTTTTGCATATTTTTACAGTGGTGTACTGTATAGAAGACATTTCGCGGTTTCCAGCACATCGTGATGCTAACACCCACTCAGTTCTTTTTTTTTCCCAACCGTGGTAACAATCAGAGCCAGTTTTCTAAGCCAGGATTGTGATGCATTGTTAGGTTTAATCCCAGAAGGAAGTATGTAAGGATTGATTTGTAGCATCTGTCACACCAGCGCTGGCACCGCTGCTCAGGTCCGTGCCAGTCTTCTCCCTCTTGTACCCACTGAGCCCCTTTGAGCTGCTCTGCCAAAACATATCTTTCAGATACATGTAAACATTTGGATTTTTATTTCCCCCCTTTGGCTTCACACCAGACTTTCTTTTCAAGAAACCAGCTCCGAAGCCTTTGGATCTTTTTTGTAACCTGGACCTCCCTTCACTATGCCCTCGCTGCATGCAATCAAACCCCATTGTTTATGAGGTCGCTCACATTGATGAAGGGAATATGAGTGAGTACTTGTGTTCGCTGAACTGCTGAACATGGTGAGGTGCTTTTTTTTAAATCAATACATGCGTCCTTTTGAATACTATAAATCCCTCAAGTACTTTGTGCCATGCTGAAGTACTGAGCTTTTTTGGTAGAATATAATATATTTTTCTTATAAATTTTGTAGTACTGGTTGATAAGATGGACATGAGGGAGTTGTGGATGTTTTCACGTGCTGTGGTGAATTACAAGTAGGACGAGTGACACACATTCGTCCATCTTCTGACACATTTTTCTATTTTCTAAGATTTACAACAGTTACAACTGGAGGTTTTAATATTAAAAAAAGTATAAATAAAAAGGTTTTTAATAATGTAATGTTTATGTATAAATTTCTTCATATGACCTTAGTATATGTAAATGTGTTTCATAAGACAAAGGTTCAAAGAGAAGACATAATAGCATAAAAATATAAAAATTGGTCTGGAAACAAAGGTAATTAATACGAATGGCTCATTCAGGGTTTAGGATGTCAACAAAATTGACTCCAGGTGTAACTTTGCTTAGCAAGAGTTAATTGAAACTAAAGATATTTTATAAATGACTACAGTAAATCTAGCGCTCATCTTTGTCTCTGTTATTTTGTAAAAGTATTGATTAGCAGAAAAACACAGCATATAATCATGGTGCTAAATTGTAGCAGCATTGATTTGTGTGAGTTGTTGCTAAAGCTATTTTGTTGGTTTTTTCCGTGTTGTTCCTTGTTGTTGTGATCTGTGTGTCTGACGTCTACTTTCCTCTTTTCTACTGCATAATTACCTTGAGTCTTGAGTTAAAGGAGACACATTCACTCAGTTAGTGAATCACACACTCACCTTCTCTGTGGACTGTGAAGTGCCAAAGAAGATTGGGATGAATGCCAGCCAAATAATGCAGGTCGTGTACATGGTGAAACCTATAGGTTTCGCCTCGTTGAAGGTCTCGGGCACACCTCTGGTTTTAATGGCGTAGACTGTACAGGTGACCATAAGCAGCATGCTGTAGCCCAGTAGGCAGATGAGAGACAGGTCAGAGATGTCACACTTGAGCACACCACGGGCCTGTACTGGGTTGGATGTCCTCTGATCCTCATAGTCAATAATGGCCTTGGAAGGATCTGCCACAAACCAGATGCAAACCCCCAGCAGCTGCACCGAGGCCAGGGTGAATGTGATGACAAGCTGCGAGGCTGGAGAAATGAACCTGGGGGCGCTTACAGACATGGTGCCTTGCTCGAAGATCCGGTAAATACGATTGGTCTTGGTGAGAAGGGCAGCGTAACTGATGCTCATCCCCAGACCCAGGAAGATCCGCCGCAGTGAGCAGATTCCCACATCCGGAGCAGAAATCATTAGGAATGTTGTGGCATAACACAGGAAGATTCCAGTGAGCAGCACATAGCTCAGCTCCCGGCCGGATGCTTTCACAATGGGGGTATCATTGTGGCGGATGAAGGTGACCACCACAAACAGCGTGGCCATTATGCCAACGACAGCGATGAGCACCGGGATGACAGCCCACGGAGAGCTCCACTCCAGCTTAACAATGGGGATTGGAACGCACCCGGTGTGATTCTCGTTGGGGCGTAAATCAAAGCGGCACATCTTACACGTGAAGGCGTCGGCCTGGTACTGATAGCCATCGCAGCGCTCACAGTGCCAACAACAGGGGATGCCCTTCACAATTTTCTTCCGCTCTCCAGGCTGACAGGGCAGGCTACAGATGGATTTAGGAATCTGACGGACACCACCGGGCCACTGCATCGAACGAACCTGGAACCAGGACAAACAGAGTTATGAATGGATAGAATGACTGATAACTGTACATTTTTACTGACACGATTGGCCACAGCAGGAGCCATAAAGGCCAAACTGCTGGAGGGTCTGATCCCCTCCAGCAGTATTATTAAAAAAAAAAGTAAAGCACATAACAGGAATAATTTTCACACCCAAATGGCTCCCGTTTTTAAAATTACACTGCACTGTTGGGTGTAATTTGAACATTTTTAGAAATATATATATTTTCTGAAAAACCTAAACGTGAACTCTGATTTTTTTTAATCTATTTTTTATGTTATTTACGTTTATTTTTGAGTAAATTTAATTAATAAAAAAAATGTAATTAATATAAAATTTATATTAATTAATTTTTTTTTCCGGTATGTTTGATCAAACTTTACAGGTCACATAGCTGTTGGGGGCCGGGCAAATAGCAGGATGGCGGTGTGGGGGGGCGTTTGATGTTCAATGTGCTGTAAAGTCAATGTTCCTCTGCTTGGTTTGTTTTCTTGAGGTGACAAAAACAAATACCAGGTTCTCTCTGGGACAGAACATCTGATACGTAACACAAAGTCAGCTGCAGAGCACGTCTGAGCACAAGTCACGCACACAGGGACTTCTGGGAATTTGTCAGAATCAATGATATGGCGACAGCATAGTGTGAATGGCAGATTTCAGTTGATGAAGTTTGAGGAGGAAGAGGAGAAGAGCAATGTTTGAAATAAAGAAAAAGAGAGAGTTCTTTGTTCAATTCCCAATAGCTAGGGTGATTGGAAAAATGCTCAACTCAGGTGACAGGCTCAATTATCAATACAATAACTGTACATTATATATATTATAAATTCTGACCAATCACAGAGGAGTTGTTGGACAACATATAAGAAAAATCTCTATGCATATGATTTGTCAAAATAAGGTGCATAGAGAAAAAGATTCCTGGTAGAGTTAAAAAGCAAAAACAATTCCTTGGTTCTTGCAAAGCATGAATCTCAAAGTTATTCCCAGGAAACTATCACAGCTGCAAAATGTTATCAATGGCTGTGTCACAGGCTTTAAATGAGCAATTAATGAACTAAGCACAATTGAGCACCAGATATGATGCATGTTCATTCTTTAATAAAAGAAAAGTGGGGTTTAGGAGACTCTGGAGAACGGTTGATGAAGGAGGGTATGTTTTTTGTTGCTGATCGTGTCATGTTTACTCTTTCAACTGTAGAGCCAAGTTCTGTGAAAGCAGCATGATTTCAAATTGAACTACAGCCTAAGTAGGATTCCTGCCTGTGCTTAAAGAGATCAGGGTCAGAACCTACACACACTGATGGGTGTTGATGGTGGAGTCTAGGAGGCAAGAGCTGTCATTAAATAAGCTGAAATTAGCATTGGGTCACTCTTCTTTATTTGAAAGGTACTTCTTTCAGGATCCAATTCATTTTCATTTCCCTTTTGCCTTTCATTACATTATTCTCTAGAAATATTTCAAAGTGTTTCTCCTTTTCAATGTCACCATATCGCTTGTATTCAAATACAGTTGTTTGTCCAGACCTAATGAATGTGTCTCCAAATGGGTATTTAATTGAGACCTCAAAGAACACTAATTAAATATATCCGGCACATTACACAGTAGGTGTCCACCACAAAACCCTGACTTCTTTTCTTACACAGCACGTGAAAACACACAAAGCTCCTCAGAGGCTGCCTCATGTCTACCGACTATAAAAGTGAAATTAGGTCCATTTGGTCCAAACATCATTTATTTTCTGCCTTTGTGTAAGCCACGGTTGATATGATACTGTTCTCTCATCATGTTCCCAGCCCACAGTGTTGTCTTGGGGAGTGGGTTGTTTTCTCCACAGACTACACTGTAAACCAGTGAACCTGCTTCTGGATGTTTGTACCTTAAAGACGTCTGGGACTGCTATCAGAAAGTAGAAAGAGTAGAAAAGGAGAGCGCTCACGTTAATGTGGAGCTGATCCGTCCAGTGGCCGATGATTTTATATTCGGCCGTTTGGTTCTGTATCTGGTACTGGTAGATCTCGTAGCGTCCGGGGGCGTCGCCATTTTCGTTGAATAGGACAGGGTTGCCAGCTATGCCTGAGTGAAAAAACAAACATCATCATCGTCACCTTCATCATCATCATTATTAACATCATCGTTGTCAGTGAAGTGGTCCTAATTGAATGTCATTAATATTACAGGTACTAATGTCCATTAGAATCTAATTAGATGTGAGTGATCTAAAGTTAATTTTCTCATTCCCACACTCCAAGAAGACTGAGAATAAATTGTAATGTTTTAATTATTTAGTAACATGTATAAAAACCACTCTCTCCTTTTAAATACCAATGAATTCCCAAACAGAAAATCAAGAAAACAAAGATGACAGACCCTTGAAATGCAGCCATATGTCAGCATCAGTTGTACAACATGGAGGTAGATCACACACAGACTCTTGCCCTGAACTCAGCTCTGTGTTTGTTGCAGCAGAGCAACATGCGTTAATCTGTGAGGACAAGCAACCTCTGAGCAGCTGGAGTTCCACGGGAGGTCTGGGAGTCCTGTGTGACCCCTCCTCACCTGAAGATAAACATCCCCCCCATCCATGCCGTCTGACCGTGGTGCTGTGATAACAACGGTAATGACGTGTTCCTGTGTGCCTTTTTAAGACTGGCTGTAATTATGCACCACAAAGAAAACACACCCATGATTTCATGGTGAGTTCCCCCATGAAATTTAGATCAGCCACAATTCCAGACCAACAATCTAGTTAATCATGATGGAGCGTTGAAAGCCTTTCCTTCGGGGACTCTGAGCTTCTAACTGCCTTTCACAGCAGCTTTCACAAACATCTTTGCTTTTTTCCTTTCTTCCTAAGCTGCTAAAGTCCCTGTGTTTCTTTGTTTCCTCAGCAGGTTTATTATTAAGTCTGTCAAAACACAATGAGCAGCCCAGTTATGAACAACAGGGTAAATGTGTCCAGTCGCTGCAGATAGATTTCTGCTGAGGAGCATTTTCCTCACTGACTTTTTGGGTCCTCTCCAGAGACTGCCGATGACTAACCCACATCTCCGTGACTCAGCCCTGCTGGCTTTCTGTTGCGATGATATGATATTTATATAAACATACTCAGCCTATCAATAGTGTTGGTGAGCTGTCATTTTTAAAGGATTCTAATCTGTGAAGCTATTGTTCTCCTCTCCGTTCTCTCCAGTATCTATCTGATATTTTGAAGTTCTTTGAAGCCCCTGTCTCTCGATTTGGTTTAAACATTTGAGTCCAAATAAAAAAATGTTCTCGGAGAAAATGGAAAATTCCCTTCCCTGATGGCAGAGTGCTGGTTTTAGGAGAAAAATACAGCAATATAGCAGTCGTTGGACTGCTATATTGCTGTATTTTTCACTACTATTGTTTTTTCGATAATGCTGTTGCAGTTTTAATACTACATAAAACTTCTTGCATTGTTACAGTAATCAAGTACATGCAGTAATGTAGTTGCATGTGTTGCTTGCTGTAATAGGAAATCAGGAATAACAAACAATAATCATATTGTAGCTACAATGTGTTATGTGTTACGTGTAGGTTAATGTGTTTGTTTATTGTCTCAACAGGGTAATTTCAAATAGCGGCTCGCAGGCCACATGTGGTCCAGACACCACCTCAGAGTGGCCCAGTCATTTAAGGAACACGTAGAGCATTTGAGTGAATCCCAGTTGGTGATTAATCAAACATACAGTACCTACAGACAACAAGCCAAGAATGCAGCACTCTCAATAAATGCGTGTGTGTCTAGAGGAGTTTGGTCCAGAACTATACGACCACGTCTCTTCCAACACAGTATAGGAGAATCATCACTTCAACCCAGCATCGACTGACAAACACCTGTTCTTTGTACATTTTGGTCTAGATTTTGCAGTTAGTTGTTCATCACCTACAGATAATGTCTGGCCCAGCTGAATTTCAAATAATATTAAGTGAATATCCCTGTTTTTAACAATCTAATTTCCATTTGTTTTAAATTAACAGTGTAGACTTAGGAGAATCTGTTCTCTGACAGTTTTACCATGAACTCTTCAGGACCAATAAAAAGAGTGGTGCATCATGGGATAGCAGGGTCGTGGTGTTGATGTGACCTGTAAGAGTACATGACACAAACTACTTGAATACTCCACAGTGGTCTGTGCAGTAATGAGTTCCTCAGAGGTTTTTACACTGGTGCATCAAACTGAACTGGATTACAGTCGCCATGTTAGCTCGATACGCTAACATAAAAGATGGGGTTAATGATGTGCTTGTAATTGCATGTAATATCTAACGTCTGCCATATTGCTGCTGTACAGAGTATAATGTGTGCTCACACACCCACACACCCATACACAAACACACCTTAATAATTAGCCAAGTGCGATCATTAATCCAGCATGTGCTTGTTCTGCTTGATTGCACAACCAGGGCACCTTGGTAAACGGCATCACGTCTTGCTGCCCTGCACACGGGTCATTAACTCCTAATGACCATTGCCCAGATAGGCCATGTAGAAATGAACACTGATCCACTTCATGTTGAGGTAACCATAGATTTCCTTTGTTTGTTTGTTTGAAAAGTGTAGCAGCGGTCACTAATATGTGGGCTGCAGTCCAGATGTGGACACAGCACACAATGAAACGTGACCTCTGCATTTGAGGTGCAGAGGTCAGGTGCTCTATGCCAATCACAAAGCACCTCAGTGGTGACTTGGACCCTAGTTCGCTTCTTTTACCACTAACCCACCACTGCACCTTAGATTTCATCCTATCTGGACCAGTGGTGTATGAAAATATCAATATATTGTTGTGCCTATAGTTTTGCAATATATCTCAGTATATCAAATCATTACCTCTGTATTGTGATCTGTATAATTTTTGCAGATTCTTGCCAGTAAACTCCCCTAACCTGGACTAAAACTGGGAAGATGAGAAACAGTGCTTTTGAACTGAAATAGACTAAAACTGACATGTTTTTCTCCCAAAAGATGTGAGATCTTAGAATAAATGTAACAAATGTTGTTCAGACCTTTAATCCAGCCAGTAACTGGTTCAATGTTGACAAAATATTGCCATTATAAAAATTAATCTAACCTTGGTTAACTATAATTGAACACCTCTGCTGCTGCAGTATTCTACCGAGCACAAAGTATTTACATTAGTGCTCTATTTTTTAGTAAAGAGAGAAGTTCAAGAAGTATGAAGTTAAATTTTCAAATTCTAATCTAAACCCAAAAACTTGCCAATGTGAAAGTGACCAAAACTAATAACAGAATGAAAACAGTGTCTCTGTTACAGCTGAGCCAGTCAGAGTAACACTGTACAAATGAAAGTAATACATTTCCCTGAATGGCTCAAAGCAGGACTGGAGACTCTAATGGGTTTTATCTTTACCTGAAGATCTTGTCAAGAGGTTTTAATAATAAATAAAAAAGGAAACTGAAGATTTGTGATCAGGCGGTAAAACCTAACGTAAAGCTTTCATTAGCTAGAATAAGCTACAGTGTCAAACCAGACAGATTGAGCTTTAGCACCAGCCAGAACACTGGCAACACATTAAGCAGCTTAAAGGGCTGAAGGTCACAAGAAGACATTGAGAAAACTTACTAAAAAAAAGGCTCAGCAGAAAATGCTTAAAAATATATACAAGTATAAATAAAGGAAAGTGAACTACTCGTCATTGTGGTACAAAACAAAACACAACCTCTGTTTTTAACCCATCACCAAGGTGAACAGCGGGCAGCTTTAAGTGTCAGAGACAGTGCCTTGCTCAGAGCACCTCAGTGGCAACTTGGCAGCTGGTGGACTCGAACCTGCAGCCTTCCAGACCCAAGTCTGCTTCCTTAACCACTAAGCCACCACTGCCTCCGTGGTGCAGGCCGAAAGCAACATTTATTGGTAGATTCTGTCAAATCTACCAAAATGTTTTGTAATGTTTGGGTTATAAATGTGAATGCCATTGAATTACATGGACACATACAGTATATGTAATATAACAACAATCATAGTAGTCTTAAGGAGGTTAAAGTACTGTAGGTAAAACAGTAAATACACACTATTATTTACAAACACTGTGGGAAATTGTTTGACTTTCACTGAAGTCCCGCAGGTGTAAAACATCAGCTCAACACCTATCGCCTTTTGTCAGATCAGTGTCACTAGGAAGAGCGAAGTCAGTAAGTCTACCATGATTGATTGAACCTGATGAACCGTGGATGTAAATGAAACCTGGTTTACTGACATACATTGTCCTGATTAACTGTGACTTTCCACACGTGCTCTAACAAACCTTAAACTCATGTTTCTGAAGCTCCTAAAGCCATTGCATTTCTTTGAGTTGGTGCTGTAAGCTAACTGTAAGACGCTGTATGCTAACAGTACAAAACAGACTTTATATAAATTTAGAGTGTAAGAACTGGTTTATATAAATAAAATAACTAACCTGGATGCCATGTTTGTAAAACTTTTTTCGTTCATTGTGTATAAAAAGTTTTACATCAGATCACCTTTTGAGCTACCAAACAATGAACACATTGCACATCCTTGACACACAGCTTTGAAAAAAACAATCCCCAGAGAACTTTCCTTTTTTTACAATTCAAGTCCCTGGTGAGGGTGACACTGCAAGGCCACTGCTTTTTAGACAGCAGCAGAGCAAAAACACTGCTCCCTGATGTGATAGCAAGAGACATGAAACACAGGCGGTGGAAGCTTTATTCAGCTGTGCCTGGATGGTGTCTCTGAATGACTCAGAAATGCTGAATTGAGTGGTGGGAATGTGAACGTGGAGAGCTGTAAATAGTGTCAAACGGTGCATTTAGATGGACTGGGACTATTTGATTTTCTGCTTTCATTGGACAAAACTCTGACAGCTGTTAAACAAACCAACAAAAAGCAGACGTATGTGAAAAATTTGAAAAATAGAAGCATATATAAAACGTCTTGACGTGTGTCCTTTCTCCACAGACTCTCAGGGCAGTTTCCATATTCACATTTGCATCAAATATGGTTTCACTAGACCCTTCAGAGAGTTCTGGTTGTGTGGATTATTTCAAGCAGATGTCTGCAGAAACTGCTGACAATGAACTGGGAAATTATAACAATGGTGTTCTGGCTCTGCTCCAAAAGTGATTTATTACAACAGACCGAAAATTTAACCCACTTACACGTGTGCTGTTTGTTTGGGAAAAACAAACGCAGCTGCTGATTCTTTTTCCTTTTGTTTACTGCTGCGTCACTTTTAGATTCACAGCAGCACAGCAAGATAAAATGTCAGCTTTGAAACTATAATACACAATCTCAGCAGACAGCCCCCAGCCTACCCACCTCCCCCCTCTGAGTCCCTGCATTGGAACTGTTGTATAAATATGTAGATTAGTTCAATATTCTGCAGTCTGATGAATCAATAGGTTTTAACTGACAAACTTTATGCAGTGCAGCACTGATACAGTTCACCTGGTTACAGGAAGTTTGGCACTTTAGTTTAGTTTCCTGGTCTTCAATTCCTTCTTTTTCCAGGAAGTGATGTATGTGTAGGTTTACCAACCGACAACTATAACCATTTCTCAGAACTGGAACTATTTGGTAGCAAGAGGCCAACTGATCATTTCATAAATAGGCTATTGAGGAAATACTTTCTAATGCAGCGTGTAAAACCGCCTTGACTGATGACAGCTGGGATTTGCTATAGCGCCCACTATGATGCTAAAAATGATATGATGAGAGAGGATTTTTCTTTTCTTTATTTTGATCTGATGACCAAGACATATTCTGACTCCTGTTAGCGGTCTGGTCCTTTCCTTTGTATGAGGAGATTGTGTGTCATAAAGTAGTATAATTGTGTTCAGCGTTTAAAGTATTTTATTATTTCCTGGGAGCGCATTAGTTCTGCATTTAACACAATCTGTGTGCCACCAGTTACTAACACTGAACACCACAGTTCTGCCGGGGCCAAGATTCTAAGCACAATCCTCTGAGTACAAGTACCATCTTAAACACAACTAGGCTAAGGGTTGCTACGCTGTTGTGTTAATACTACTAAAACTAGAATTCTTTCTTCACAGCTGAGCAGGTACTGCAGTTGTTCTCGTGCTTTATCTGGGCCAAAACGTGCAGCAAATGTTGTTAAGGGAAGTAAAGATCAGAGCCAAAGGGAGGATTAAAAAGTATGAGAAGCAGTTTCTTTGTGGAGAGGGTGCATTTGAAACTCCCACTCTAAACTTCATGCCAGACTGAGAGCTTTCTCCTAGATAAAACACTGTGTAGTGGTAGAATACAAAGACAAACAAATACAAATATGCAGACAGAAAGCTAGAACATTCCTTTAAGACCATTGTGTAAACATATGTGGGGTTTTTTGTTGGTCTGTGTTTGTCTAAAAATTTAAATTGTGCAACAGGTTCTGAGGTCATCTGAGAATCTGTGCTTTACACTAGGAATGCATCTCGATACTTCATTGAAAAACATGAACTTGTACTTGAAAATGTACCAATTAAGCAACCTGATACTCTGTAACCCAACCTGATGAAGTTTCTATGCTAATACTGAGTATTCTGAAGTACAACAATGAAAAGACTTGTATTTAGGGATGTAAAAATATGCTTAACTCACAATACAATATGATACACAATTTCTTCCTGCGGGTGGTAAGTCCACTGGAAGGTACCAACTGCCCTAACCGGGATTCGAACTTGCCCAGGAGGTAAACCCTGGGGTTCCACGCCAATGACAGAGACATTAACTCTGGGCCAAAGCACCACACACAATTTCTTTTTGTTCATAAAGACTAGATTTCATCACATTTATTTAACAAAATAAACTCCAGACAAATTATCACCCATTGCAATGATACTTGTACCTCATAAACCAAATTAACTTAATACTTAAATAACAGTCAAACTGGTCTGGTCTTATTAACCTCACTAACACTTGACATACTGAACAACAACATAATATAAAAAATATTAACTGGAAAGAGTTCCTTTCCTTACAGAAACACTGTTTCTGTGGAAGATCTTCCCACATCCTGTTTGAATACTTGAATGTTACGTAGGGACCTAAAGCCTTGGTTTAACAGCGGGTCATAACCAACATTTTTAGGTGCATACTGCCACCTATTGTACCAGAGTGTGTAGTCTCATGGTATGACCAGTGACTTTTTTGAGAAATCACAGTCTATTCCTTACGCCTTAATGCGTGATTGATTTTTATTTCAATGGATGTGAATTGTTATGGATTTGTATCAATTTTTAAATCACTTCACGATGCAGCCCTACTTCTATGGTATTGCAACAACCCCGCCCTGCAGACTGTACTCCTCCAACGGGGGTGGAAGTAAAAATATATAAAAGGCTGTTGTGGGAGTCTGAAAATAATGTGATTCAAATCAACGCCTGCTCACTTGTAAAATCAGGTCAGTAAAAGGTGATTAAGGTTAAAAACTTTGTGCTGACGAATTGCAGCGAGGGCATTTTTATCTCTTCCTGAGAGAGAAAATGTTCTTGCAGTAAGGTGTCATTTTGTGAATTTACAGTTTCACTGGGGGTCCTCGGAGCAAATTGCAGCCTGTTGTTATGCCTGGATGAAGGGTTACACTAAAAAGAGTAGTAAAGAGTTTTTTATACTGACTACACATTACCAGGGGTGTTTCTGTCCTTCAAATTTAGCTGACGCCGTGACAGTAGTGAAAGCTGTTTGCAGTAAGTAAGGTTGTTTTTTCTATTATTGTAGTCAATATATATGTCAACTCCAGGTTCATCTTTTCTGTATCTCTAACTTACTGAAAATCTTTAACGCAGCTCTTCCGGTGCTAAAAGTCTTCGTAAAGTACTCCAAAAATAAGAACTGCCGTTACCAAAAATACCATAATACGATCTATGAAAAACTATTACTGGAAATACTATTTCAAACACATGAAACAGAAGGACAAAACATGAAGATTACAAAGTGACAACGACAAATTAAATCCTTATTTACACAGCGTTGACAGGCAAATCCAGACACATCCATGTTTTAATGTTGGCTGAATTTAAATTAATTTAAAAAACACCACTATCTGAACAGATCTTATCTGTCTGAGAGCAATCTCAGCTGATGCTCAGCAGAAAATTATCACATAATAGAGAGCACAATAACACTGAACTATAAAATATTAAATACTAAATGTTATCTATCCAGAGAGACTGTGGAAGTTGGTGAGATGCTGTTCTATGAAATGCGCCGGCTGTTTAGAACTCAAACTCATAACTGCAGTATTAACAGGATTTAGAATTTATATTACAGTATTCTACAAGTTAGCAACAACATAGGCGACACTTACAGTAGATGTGTAGTCAAAGCTCAGAGCTTTACAGCGACATATCATCTTCTAACTCTATCAATACACAACATCTGCTATGGCATTTAAATTGTAGATAATTACATTTTCTGTTTATGACACTGTGGGGAGCAGCTGTATTTATAGTAAAGTCTGTTTTCATTACAACATAATGACCTGCTGATAATTACGGTACCATCATACTGAGGACATATTGCTTTATATTTCTGCAATATCCCTTCAATTTGTGTTATGGTACAAACGTACACACCCATACACAAACACACACAGATGTAAATGAATACACTGAATGAACATAATCTTGCTTCATGGATAAATAATGTCTGCATTTATTTGTTACTCATGCAATTCACACTACAGTATGTGGTTGAAGGGATTCTGGTTCTGCTGCCTGTTTAAAATATTGTAGTGTGTGATTATAATTCAATCTACATGGATGTAAACAGAACTGTAGACTCAAAGAGCCAGGTCCATTAAGATTTTTAATGTTGCTCTTGGCTCTTTAATAAAACACATTCAGATATTGTTTCATTATTATGATAGTTCATATGTAAGAGTAATTCTATTTAAAGGTAAATCCAAATCCATTATTTTAGATCAGAACATTAGCTGTTGTAGCTAACATTAGCTCTGGCCTCTGTTGTAGGACTGTTATAGCTAACATTAGCTCTAGTGTTTGTGTGCTAGATTGTAGCAAGCTAGAAAAGATGGGATCAAATACATACATTTTTCTCTAATTAATTAATCAACTTGTCTGCTTAAAAGTCCCAGCTGTGCTGATTATCAGTCAACACACTCTCTTGTAACTCCTGTAATCAGGCATCAATGATGTGGATTCAATGGAGGAATACTGGAGGGTCAGGACATGATGTGTTGGCTGTTAATTTTGTTGCAGCCTTGCTGTGTTGTGAGAAGGCAACATTTGAACGCCTGCTTCTGAACACTTGATCACACATCTGTGTTAATGAGAAAATGAGAAGTGTTTGATGACCAAGTGTTTGCAAAAAAAAAAAACACTTCACAAGAGCTCTCCAGTCAAAACAAATGGGATTTACAGCATAAATAAACATGACTGACCTGCAAAGTTTAAACGGCGGATGTGCTTCAGCAGATGAGTGCCGTTGATGGGATCCATTTTAGCACAGAGGCCCACTTTGCCTGGGCAGAGCTCCTGGTGCATGTTGTGCAGGGCATGTGCCATGGAATAAACAGCATCAATCACAAACTGCACTTTTCCCTCCTGCTCATAATTGGAGTCTTTTCCTATCCGCTCCTGATCTGTAGGAGAAACGGATACATGCAGGATTATCAGACAAATCTGACACATTATCACACACCTGTCATGGTGTACATTTATGTCAGCTTTATGAGATTTTTCTTCCAAGTATAGAGAAATGCAGAAAAAGAATAACAAGAGATTGTCTTAAATGGTCAATCAAGAGTAAAGGATACAGACATTTCATTCACTTTTATTGCAAATAAAATTACACTCCTAATGACTATCAGCTCATCCCAGACTTCTTTTTCCAGACAAATAATAACTTGAAAAAAAAAACACAGACAACAAAAACTTTGTTTTGGTCATCCTCCTCTGAGACACTATCACTAAGGAAAGTACTTTGGACGGACTCAGATGACATAGGCTTCTGAGAGAACATGTGGCATAGGTCCAGGACATCATTGCTCCTTGGCAAGTGTTTGTCTTTTTGTACCAAAAAAGCTCTGGCCTTTGCACTAACAAGGTGGAGTATCTGCATTGCTGCAGAGCAGAGAATCAATGCCAGTATCTGGAGGTGAAGGAGTCTCATCAGCTGGAACCTGATTATTTTATTTATTTTGCAGGATCATCCTTGTTTATTAACCATTATGTAAACTTTTTTTTTGACCAGCGTGTTTACACTGCACCAATAATTTCTACCTCCAGATTTCTATTAAAACCTTCGAAAAACAACTTAATACCACACCGCAAGAGCTGCACACTGCTGGGATGTAATTAAAAGCACAAATAATACAAAAACTGGGAGATTATTTATAGAATTAATACATTTTGTAAAAAAAAATATATATATATCTGTAATGACCAAGAGAAGATTAATAATCCTGACTCAGGTTAAGACCTGTAATCCTCCAGGTTTGGGAGACAAAGACACCACGTGTCAATCGTAGCCTTTGATTTGTCTTTGTGCTGTATCTGTTTCATATTCAGGTTATGAAGTTATGAACTAATGAAATAATTATCAGCACTGAGCTAATTACCAAGCTGTTAATAGTTATATGCCTGCATTTCAAATTGAGTTGGGTTTTGTGACGTTAGGGAAAAGACCATGAGCAAATGATGTTTGTTTGTTAGTTTTGTTCATTTGCATTTATCTTCCTTCTAAGATTATTTGACTGAAAATGCACAACTGCACAGATAATACGGATAATACGCATTTGCATTTAGCCTGTTATTGTATCGTGAGTGTTAAGGCTGTGAAGGGCTGATGCATATAAAAAGAGCTGGGAGATGTCAAGTTTATATAATGTGTGATACTTTAACCCTCAAACATAAAAAGAACAATGCAAAAAGGAAATTCAAGGTAATTTTTAAAGAAAAAAATATTAAAGATTTGTTATTGGTAATTAACATGCTTTTATTTGACATATTACTACAGTTTAATGCCGTGCTTGGACATTATTATACAGGCCTACATTCTCAAACCAATGTCATTGATGAGTGCATCATCAAAGCTCTGTGTGTGTACCTGAATGAAGAAGAGAGCGCCTGACAACCTTGTGAAATAAAGATATGTTCTGAACAAAACCAATGTTACATGGGTTTTACAAAGTAATGCTTGTATATTGCTGTTTGTACACCTTAAAATGGCACTGGAATGACATACTCCCCCTACCCCCCCGCCCCCCAACCATTCTCTCTTTTTAATTTAAAATTTTCTGTGAAGAACACAGATGGTGAAAGCAGTGAAGCTGCAATGATGAAGACGACATTTGTAATCTTTGTTATTTGCAAAGAAGGTGCGGAGCCAAATGATGGACTGGAAGATGTAGGTATCGTTTTAGAGGGAGTGCAAGTTCTGCATGAGTTGGGAAATATACCACTTGCTGGTGATGGTGATGTTGTTCACTCTTGCATACGCTCTTAACCTCAGCTACCCTCCAAAGCTGTGATACATCTTTGAAGATTTGCAGAAAAGCATTATGGAGCTTTTAAAGAACTGGTGAGCTGTTTTTACATGTTTGAATAATGTTTTAAAATGTTTAGTTAAAAGAAGGTAAAAAAGAAAACTACTTTGTTTGACATTTGACGCTGAAGTAAACACAATTTTGTTTTTGTGTTTTTCCTCAAATGTTTTTCTTTGTTCTCAGTAGCCAGGACCACATTCAGTTTATTACTTTGTAACCAGATTTATTTATTTTCTAAATAATCAAAAGATATTTATTTTCTGTGAGGTAAGAACACTGACCACCATGTATGTGAATATGTTTATAGTTAAATTAATTCATACATGGGTTTCACAGTGGATGGTTGTACAGTATGTTAGGTAAAGGGGCTTGTCAGTGAAGAGTCCCAGGTCCCTGTCGTCCATGTCGTCTTGTCACTTGAATGTTTAAAATGTTGAAACTGCACTGGTTTTCTGAGTTTCTTGGCAAAGTTTCATCTCTCATCCCAAACTCCATGTCCTGAGACTTCCTGGGGCAAACACCTGACTAGGCAGTCATTATGCTAAACAATAAGAGTTGTCCACCACTTGACCCAGTTTCAGTTAATGTGTGAATGAGTGTTGTTAGGATCACCCAAGAGACACCGTGTGCATCAGGGACGTCGGCTGTGTTATTCCGAATTCTGACTTTTCTCAGGGGGGGGGGGGAGAACTTGTGGCCAGACTGTAGGTGGTTAAGGGCAGCTCCCTGCTGTGTTAGTGCTGGTTTGTCCAGGTTGACACTAGAACAGTTGGTCCTAACCAAATTCCATGCGAGTACCATCGGAAAGTAGACAATTTGACGATTATGGCGATTAATATGTTCTGTGGTTCAGGACAAATAACTTTTGTACCTTAGCATCACAGGGTGTTTGTGTGTGTGTGTGTGTGTGTGTGTGTATATACACATTTTCTTCTTTTCGCAGCCCCCCACTTCAGCCCACAGGTATATAAATATCTAAAACTAATAGTACCAAAACTGCAGAGAGGCTATTGGATAACAGTTAAAACATTCCAAAAAAGTCGACTTAGTCCAGATCATTGATTAATACTGTATTTGAATGAATGAACTTTAATCCAAAAAGTCGTGAGGCAGAAAGTGGACAGTTCTAAAGTCCTTTGAAGGGCCATGTATATCAACAAACAACCATTCACAATTATATTCACACCTGTGGTCAAAATAGAGTGTCCATTTAATATGCATTTAACATGCAAACTCTACCCAGAAAGATCATCAGTTCACCATGCCAGATCAACAGGAAACGCACCAACCACCCCACAAACATGTCACCCCACTTGACTTCTTTCAGACTTCAGACTTTGTCATGGACCCATGAACAGGGAGCTGTTTCCTGGACCATATGTGTTATGAGCCATGGTTGACCCCCGCTGCAGGGCAGCACAACACAGTCTCTACAGTACCACAGAGTGATCTAGATATGGATTCCCTTACTCGGGTTCTGATCCCTCTGGGGTTTTTTTCAATTGCATTTCATGGTTGAGAAATTTCAGTGTAAACCATTTCTTTCTTATTTTGAACCTTAATTTTTATTTTCCTTTACTGCTCCCCAGGAGGACAGTGCAGTTTGCTCAGAATATACAACAAGGAGATTTTAGATTTTTTTGTATAAACACATAAACATTGCTTTTTTTATATCAATGCTCAATTGTACGATTTAGGGATGAAAGAAGTTTGAGAATATATCTAAACCTCCGAAAGGTAGAAAAATGATTAAACTGGAACGCATTTTAAAAAGGAGCACTGTCTCTAAACAAATGCCAAATATTTAATGCAAACAATAAAGTTTGTTTTGCTGTAGTCCCTTATTCATGTAATTTTCTTTAAATGATCCAAAAAAAGTCTTGGCCTGTATTGTATAAAATATGCCAGGAAATGTTTTCACATTTGAAGCCGACTCCAGTGGGAATGACTGGTTTGCATTCCAGTAACTCTCATCATTGCACGTAGACTAATGTTTTTCCCTGCATGACTCAATATTAATTTTTTTCGGTGCCCCTGTCAATACTGAGTGAATACTGGTGATGAATCGCCGCCCACGTCGTGACAGAACTGTCATTTGTCATGCATCATATGTCTCCTTAGGGTTCAAGTAATTTCCAGCAGCCTCTTCAGTCTGAAGAGAGCGATCACTTGAATCAGCAGAGGTCTCCTGCTGTCAGCCATCTTTCACATCCCAATTTTCACTACTCGCTACAGACCAGAAGCGGATTAATGTCCCGAATTATGTCAAGAGTTTTGGAAATGTAAAAATTATTGTTGGAGGTTATGGCTCAGTAAATGAAGGCTACGGTTCTTTAACCGACCTTCGATTGACACAGTATGGTCTCATGCCTTTGTTACGGGAAATCATGGGAACCAGAGAGGGTTAGCTTCCCATGTGAAGAAATCTGAATTTCTCCATAATATTTTTTTTCTAACTGTAATTGTGCCTATGGGCAGGCTGCTGACTGTGATCACTGGTTCACATTAAATCAGGCTGAAGTGTGTTAGTCTGTTGTGAGATATTTTGTGAAAGTATTTTTGGCTTCTAACTCATTGGGTTTTTTTAGGTTTGTGACAAATTCCGACCAAAATTCCATGTGTTGTCATTGTACATATACAGACACATACACACTTCTAAAGTTTTTGTCCTCTGCATCAACCCATTCCTGGGGAGATGTAGTCACCTATAGCAGCACTCTACGTGATACTTCTTTGAACAAACATACACAGAAACATAGACTCTGGGCTTTTGGGGGTTTTTTTGGTTTCCAGCACATCATCAAGTAGACATGATGCTTTCCCTAGAATCTGTAACCTAGCAAATTCACTCCTCAATCCCAACCCTAAAGCTAATCTTACTGTAGCACTAATCCAAACACCAAATTTAATCTAGAATCAGGGCCCTCAGTGGGGCGTGCATATGTCCCTGTTAGGACAATGTGTCCCCACAAGTATAGCTATACCAGTATAGGCATACCTTGAGGATAGTGCCCTGTAAAAGCACAGTAACAGTACAATGTTCAACTCTCTTATTGTCTAGTTGTATTTATAGAACATATCCCATGGGCAGATGCCTCCAGGCACCACATTGGTGACCCCTGCTTTGGAGTAACAACATACTTTAACTAGAATTTTATGTTTGTAGTCATGATAAAAATTTTAACTAAGCACTAAAGAAAATAATTAAATCTGTGGATACAGTTTGAGATGACCAGTATATTTTTTCTTCCAAAATTATTTGTCCATTGTCTAATTTTCCAAAAAGTCTAAATTACACTGATCAATTGCTGCAAAAGTAGTTCCAGATATAAACCAGTACGACACGCTCATTTATCTGCTGCTCCCTGTTATCATTAACACACAGGGGGAACAAAAGCTCCTGAGATTTTCTCCTCTACTTTACTGCTCTCTCCTTCATTAATCAATATCACTTTTACATCTCTTTCATTCAAGGATCAAACACACTTTTCTTCTTCTCCTCTCAGTCCTTCGTGAACTTCTGTTTCCTCTGATGACATTCAGTTAAAAAGCTAAAGTCTAAAGCTGAAAATGTCGGTTGGCTCTCAGAGATGCGGCACAGTGTAGTGCGGAAGCATCACAAGTGTCACGTTCTCACCTCAGACGAATACATCAAGACGGCGCTGATACTGAAGCTCCGCTCTAACAGGTCTAAACTGGGAAATGAGGTGAGAAACAGGAGACGGCAGGTTCTCAGATCCTGTGATAGTAAAATTCTTAATATTGATGGATGCCTGATGTCACAAAACTAATATTTGATGTCATATATATTCACATCTGAAAAATCTCTGGACAGATGATGTTTACAGTATTAGATTGTCTTTCTTATTTCCATAGCTCCTGAGAGCAGTTTTCATCTGTTATGAAAAAAATATTATATTCCTTTTGCTTTTTGTGTATTTTTAATATTCTCAAAATGCCTCCTTTATTTTAAAAAGTGCAGTTAAAGGTCTCCTCTCATAAATACTGAAACATAAGTACATTTGTTTCTTACACTTCTGTGGGACTCTTTAATAAATATATTCCAGTAACTCATTATTTGTGGTCCACATGCTGAAAAACAAAAGTTGAGTGTTGAGTTAGGACTTTTTAGATTTTTTTTCCTCCATATATCTATATATGTTATGCATAAAATTGACAATACAATCTGCTTAAGTCATTTGTTTTACTTTTGTTCATCAGTGTGGATTTACCAATAATAAGTATACTTCTGGTCATGAGTTATTATTTTTACATATTTAGTTGTACTCTAACACAATAAATATTTTTCTTTAAAGTAGGTCTGAGACTTAAATGCATTTATTTTGATTGAATAATTACAAAATATTAAATACATATTTAAATTAAAATATTTAAACGTCAATTTCGGGCACAGTGATGCACACACTCCAGCCCATTAGATGGCAGCAATGTACCTAAAGGTTGCTAATCATTTTCAGTATAACCTGGACATTTCTGTTGCTGCCCATCACGCCCACGTTTTATTGTCATGCTGCTTATTTGTTCTGCTTTAATTCATCATTTTGTTCAACATTTCAAATTTTAAACTTGTTTTATTTGTATTTTTACCAGATTCTTTATATAAATTATTAATATCTATGTCGGTGAAAAATGCAATATTGCATCACATAATTGTTTAGCATGATTTTTAAAGGAATTCAAAATAAGCCAAAGCATGTTATAAACATTTGTTTACTGTGTGCTGACATTACAAAAAGGTTCTTATTTCCTTTTCACGAATTCCATTATTTGGCTTTGTATATCCCTCACTCCCACCTCAGTGGTTGTTGCTGTTTGTTTTCTTAATCTCCGTTCCTCTCCCAGGGACCAATGGTCCAGAGTTCTGCAGTATCTCACCTCTTCTTAGGACTGTGTCCGCTCTTACAGAGACCTGAGGTCTGTCAGAGCCACCGTCCAAATTGTGAGTCATAGTCTGTCTAGTTTGACAACAGCTGACACTACTGCTGCCTCTCCCATGCAACACCTTACCATCTCCTCTCCTCTAACCCTTCCTATTTTCCGAGCCTTGCATTTTCCTGCTTCTTCATGTTTCCTACCCTTGGGAATGCTGTTTCCTTTTTCAGCGTTCTCTCTTTCCTTCCCTCTGGTTATGGGGTTTCGTGCGGCCCCTGTGTGTTGGACTCTGCACCTGAGGTCCTGTCTGCCATAACAGACTGTATCCTCTATTAATCTTGCACCAAGTGCCAACTCCTGCAAAACCAAGATTTGTTCCTCTGTGCTGTTCTATCAGTCCAACTTTTTTCCAGCCACTGGTAGAAATTTTCATCCTGAACTTTGTGTCAACTCCTGGGTTAATAGCAAGCTCAGAGTAGGGATTCGACCCATGATGTTGCTCAGAGAGCTCACTCCGGAAATGTCACTGCTGCTCCCCTGAGGTGCAGGCTGATGTTCTCTGCAGCGTCCTGCTGTCAGATAACCTCCAACCAAACTCCTCTATCTGAATCATCATATCCACATGAGTGTTACTACCTTGCATCTGTAAAATGTCACATTTGGGATTAAATGCTAATTACGTTTTTTCTTTTCACATTAGCATTTTCTTACAATAAAACCTGATTCAGTATCGAGTTTTGCCTGGCCGCTCTTAGGTAACTGAGCATCAATACTGCACGTATGTATGCTGTGAGGATGAGAATCACAAACACACTTAGATATAAATGAATTATCTCAACACACCCACTTACAGCCATATACATTATAATCAATATGTTGTTAGTGGCACTGACACTAATGTGAGAGTGCCTGATGATTTGTGGGGATGAATACGTACTGATGTTGTGACTGTGGTAGTGTTGAGTGGGCGATCTGTACTCTACTGTAGTAATATTGTTTAAACCTGTATTCACCAATTAGATCACATTGTGATAGTGGTTTAATGGCTGAATGCGGTAAAATGGTTTGTTAAAATGTGCTGTCATTTCCTTTAAGTCACCATAGCACCCGTACCTGTTAAACCCTAATCTTGATATTGATTTTCTAACTGTAACTCCAGGAGACTGGATTTAGACTCATTCCCATCTTTTACTCAACACTTTCCATTTAGTTTCCAGTCTTTAAACTGGGGGTGTTAGTATATTTAATATAAATATTAAAATATATTAAATATATTTATGTAACTATAGTTGTGTCCAATCATTGCATGGTAATTCATAAATGCTTATAAAACGTACATAAAGCAAAAGCCACAAAAAAAGAAACTTCTACGTTAAAACAAAGTTGGGGTGAATTAACTTCAGCGTCGCTGCCATGTCATTCAATTGTTGTTGGTGCACGCAGAAACACACTGAGCTCAGCAGAAACACACTGCGCTGCTGAAATGAGCTGTGAGACGGACTGTGACTTTGAATATTGAATGTTTGGGCTGTTATACCTTTAATAGGCTGGCGGTGCTGTCAAAACACATTCACCGTGAGCCCAATAAGCCACTACCTCTTCAGATATCACATGAGTGTTTCCACATTGCCAGAGTCTGAACAAATAGAACATTAAATAGCTTTTCCCCTCCCCAATTGGAAGAAAAAAGTCTTACTCGTGCACTTTCTGAGTCCAGAGCCTTTCTTCACAGCATGGCGGCTGAGCTTGCAGCTGAAGTTGTTCTCCCAGAATTCAGCAAACCAGATATTCCTTCTGTTGTTCTCCAGCGTTCGGCTAATGAAGTAGCGATCAAAGCCTGGACAGGATTCATTGTTACAGTCAGTGTTAGTGTCTATGCATGAACCACATTTCCAGAAAAGCTGATACGCATCATTACTTTGTAATACAGGAAAAACAAGAATCTGCAGTTTGAAAATGTGCTTAAACCTTTATTTATTTATGAAGCTGAAGTACAATGAAGATATTTTTAATGTTTTAATCACTGCTACGTCTATCCAACAATATGAAAAAGCAGGTTTATAGCCAAACTATTTTTAACAATCAAACTTGTTAATTAATTTAAGTTTATTGCGTATAAATAGACAGTATATATGGATATTGTTCAAGGCTGCAACAAAAAGAAGTGGCTTAATAAATACATGTGGTAAAATGGTTATATTTACATCATCTATATTTGTTCAATTTAAAATATACAGTTTCCACTTTTGATTGGTTCGTGACATAACGATCAGATCTGTTCAATCCCAATCTAAATTTTGTTTTTCTAACCATATCTCCAAGCAACTGAATTTGGACTCATTCTAGCCGAATTACTTTTTTATAAACAAATTTGTTGATGATTTACAATGTATCGCTTATATATACAGTATATATTAATATTGATCAAGCCTGTATTCAGCAATAAGATCACATTTATATTAGAACTGCCAAACATTTTAATCTGATTAATCACAGGATAATGTTTGTATTATTTACGATTAATCATGTTTGATAATCCCATTTAATTTTGATTAATTGAAATAAGTCCACATTCCTAATCCCATAATTATTTGTAAGCTAAGCATGAGGGCATGAGTCTGTTTTGTTAATTATTTAAAAGGTTATAGTTGCTGTTACATCTCTAAACGTCAGCCTGCTCCTGTATATATACATTACTGTTATTATTGTTATTACAGCTGAAATGTCTTTGGGGGAAATGGACACACGTTGTTGTTGTTTGCTACAGGTTAAAAAATTACATTGACACATGCAACCTGTCAAAACAGTCAACTGAGTTCTATTTTTATCTCTATACAGGAGCCTGTGTCCCACATTCAAAAGCTGACATGTGCCCTGTTGGCATCTCAGTACCTTTGATGGACTGGCGCTTGGGCAGGATGGTGACTGCTCCCTCTGCCATCTCCTCCTGATGCACAACCGGAGAGATCTTGGAGCCCCAGCTGTCTGAGCCCACCCAGATGAAATGACCCGTCTGGTTTGCCTTTTTAGCAGCGTGGAGCAACCGCCTGTAAAGGTGAGGAAGCAGATGTTGCCGTGGATTAGGTCAGTATCAACAGCTCATTACACAGTGTGTTGGCAGAGCCTGTGTGAGGCGGCCGTGTTCAGACATGGTTCTGTTTGTTGTGGCTGTGGTGTTTTCTAATCTTCAAAGTGCCTCTGTGTGGTGATCACAGTATCATTTACCTGATGTCGTCCTCGTTGGCAAAAATGATGACGACTCTGGCATTTGAGGTTTCTTTGAGTCGGCGGATGACTTTGTCAAACTCTCCCTGCTTGGGCTCACGGGGAATCTTGACTGACTGGGAGACGCACACACCACCTAAACACACACACAAAACAAACAAACAGGGTAAAACGCCATGTTAGGTTATTATTTAGTTGCTGCTTTAATTTCTCAGTTGTCTACAAATCCCATCAGGGAAATGTCCTACTGCATGTAACCCATTACTGAGACCCTCCAGGGATTAACACACAAGAGGAGTGGGCTGCATGTTGTATTCTAGCCAGGAAAGCAGTGGGTTTTGGTGCCTGCTCAACACACCAAAGCCCTAAGGGCTGGGATTTGAACCGACAATTCTCCTAAAACAACCCTGATTGTTTGGCATCAAAATATCCTCTCAGACACCTGTGATAAAATCTCTGCCAGTAAAAATAAAATCTCAAGGGAAACAATTAAACATATAAAAGGATCAAAGAGGAAGCACTAATAATACAGTGATACAATTAGCACTTGTGGTAGAGGATAATGACACTCATATACTGTATCACATTAATCAAAGAAATATGCAGCTAAGGAGTTGACTTCAGAAATATGACGGAATGAAATGCAAATACACCGTCATACTTAAAATTCTCACCTTTGTTTTTTTAATTGTAGTGCTGGATTATAGTGACATAACAGTTTGAATGACCTAAAACCTGTAAATTACATCCAACACAGACAAAAGAAAACCAGTTGAAGGGCTGAGAATGTTCTCCAGTTGACAGGTTTGTATGGTGGGCTTTTGCTGAGCTCACTGAAACTCTCAGGACTAACCTGCGACTGTGCAAAGGCTTTTTTTTTTTCTTTCCTTCATGTACTGTCTCCTCGGTACATCCACTGCTGATGCATATATACAGCCCCTATATGTCACTGCAGATGGAGGCTAGTACAGAGTGAGGCAGGCTTCCATCCTGCTGCTTGTCTGTTTATTTTTTAATTTGCTTGTGAAAGTCTGACAGGTTTGTGGAGCATCACAGAAACAACCAACAGGAGTTAGACGAAGGACAAATAATAAAAGAATTAGCAAAAAACAAATTAAAGTTACACTTTTATCTCCATCAGATGAGGGTGGACTTAAACAGTACCTGTGCATTAGAAGACCTGATGCTTAGAGCTTCTAAAAATGTACACAACAACACAGAAACTCTCGTCGTGGTTCATTTCAATAGATTTATAGACTGCCTGTAATGGGCTTAAAATAAATCTAGCCGTCTGGACTCCTGCCAATGAATGGGGAACCGTCCCAATTTAGCTGGGGTTTTTTAGACATGAGATGGAAAAAACTTTTGTCAGATGAATCTGTCTTGTTCCACCTCAGCTGTCACTGAAAGCTTCATTTACTCTGACAAGGTCGGGACAGAATTTGAAACCAGTCCTTCAGACATGCAAGAGAATTGAAAAATTGATGCAAAACTACAAAAAAGGGAGGAATATGTGTTATTAATATTGAACAGAAATGAGTCAGTGGAAATTATTTTTACATTTGTGCTCAGTGAAGTCTCCTCGTTTCAAAAGCGGAAATACTTATTTTCTGAATATTTTCCAGGTTTGATAAACATCAGTTACACAGAAGTATACGTCAGTAGGTCTAAAAAAAAAAACCTCTCACAGCAGCAACCAAAGCACAGCAGCAACCAAAGTGTGATGGGTTGTAAAGATTACACACATTTCAGATACTTTTGGTCTGTTGCCTAGTTCTAGACCTATGTTTTGAATAGCCAGCAGATGGCGATAGCGTGTCCGAAGTTTACCCTCTGATCTCCTGAATGCCTAAAACATCTCCCCAGGGAGAAATGTGGGAGAAAGATGGGAGATATCCAGACCAGACACCTGAGCCAATTCAAATGGTTTGATTTACTTCTAGATTTGAGCCCCTCACTCTTTTCTCCATACAGCACAGGATCTTCAGCAGGTAGTTGACTAGTTACGGTAACTAAAATTTAAATATAATTTATGATATAGTGTGAAATAAGAATAGTACATATACTGTAGTATTACTTGAATTACTTTGTACAGAATGCAAAATAGCAAAATACACGACACTGGGTCCTGTTTGAAATAAAACTGTTTTCATTCAATATATAAAGTAGAGACTCCCAATCCATTTCTCCATCACTTTGCAGATCCTTGGTTTTAAAACTGTTAAGGAACCCTGCCGTCAAGGTTAAAGAACTGGCCTCATTGGTTATTGTACTTACAGAAAACTAACCCTGGGAACCTTGTGATTATTTGCTAGGTGCTCTGTTTTTTCCCTTTAGTCACACTAAATTTATCACACTAAATTAACATTGGTGTGAATTTATACGATATTGTACTGAACTGCCAGAGCGTACCCCGCCCTCAACCATTGGCTGCTACGATTAATGAATAAGCTACTGGTCGGACGAGGAAGACTTTTGTCCTATGACTAGTTTAATACTCTTCAAGATAAAACAGAATACAAAATATTTAAAACCAACCAACCCAACTGTTGATCTCATTATTCCGCCATAATCTGCTTTATCACACACATATCTAACGCGTTTGAGCAAAATAAAAAAAAAAACACGTAAATATGTGACTTGGCGAAACAATTAATTCCACTCTGTTTGAGTGCGGTGATTCAATTCAGTTAAAGTCCCGTGTTGTCACAACAACATTAAATCAGGCATCATTATTTCACATCTCTGCGTTTTTTCTTTGCAGATATTTGATGGTTGGTTTATTGATCATTTCAATCACGAAAAATAAAACACTCACACTCAAAGTGTCTCTTAGTTTATGATTCGCTGCAGCTGGGAGGCCATGCATCTCCTGTGCAGCCTTGACGATATTTCATCACATTAGTCATTTATGGCGACCCACTTGCCCAGCTGACATAACATTTATCAGTTGGGCTTTTTATTTGGGAAAAGAAAATGGGGGCAGATGAGTAAACATCAGCTGTGGTGCTACAGCAGACACTATGGCACTGTTATCGTGTGTTCACCAAGATGAACCAAAAGAAGTGGTGACACACGGGCTCTGTGGCATCAGTGCAGTCACTCATGCAGACCATGCTACCCAGATACAGACGACTGTAAAACCACAACCTTATAACTGTCATACATTTGAACAATGTGATCGTTGTTTTTATTTCATTGGCCACAAGTAAGACTATGTCCAACTTTACACCAGACTCTGATGTGAATAAGTTACCTCTAAGTGTCACATCCACTGCCAGTGTACAAACAAGACATGCAAACATGTCATCATAACGTGGACAGAAAATTGCTTTAAATATAAGAAACTGACTTAAATGTAATCTGTAATATTTCATATTCAATAAATATTTCAATCATTTAAAGCCAACATTTTATTTTACCATGTAAAATGCACATATCTCGCCTTGTACCCCCACAAAACAAACTAAGTTTTTGTTTGTTTTTTCTATAGTGCCCAAGACATAACCTAAACCTGAAAAGCACACACATTAATTCTTAATTCTTCCACATTTAACATAAAATAAGCAGATAAGGCACAACAAAATATGACTTGATGTCAAATTAAACCATGTCAGTGTAAACAGGTCTCTGTAAAAACCAACAACTCCTGTGGATTATATGGTCATCTGTGACTAAAACATAAACATAAACACATAAAAAGTGGAAACAACACAACGTCACTAAACAGATTTTGCATCACAATCCAGCAGGTGGCAGACCAACAGCCTTTCTCAGCACAATGATTAGCACGTTTCTGAAACACATTGGTAGCAGAACCGCAAACAAATGTTAAAACCTAGGCTATAACAAGATTCCATAGCCAGTAATATATATTCTGCATCGTTGTAGAACTCTATACAGCTATGTGCAGAGTGAACCTTGACCTGTATCTCTGTTCAGATTTGAGATTGTCTGCAGTCGGTTGACCGATATAAATGTTCATATTGCACTGCCTGGTAAATACTGGTAACTTCTGCTGCAGTAATTTGATCAGTATCACTTAGTTTGCAGAAAAAACACTGCACACTTTTGTATGCTTTCTGTTGTGTGTGAGACTCACGTGCATCGTGTCGTTTCCCATCATCAGTCACTTCACTGCCCGACAGAAAAGCCGTTATTACACCAATTGCAGATTGCGGGTTCAGAATCTCCACCAACCAGTCTCTGCCTAAAACCTTTTTTTTTTTCGGCATACTGCACATGGACGCCTTCACAGTATCAAAACAACTGGGCGCTCCACAGTTTCAGACGCTAAAGTTTGTGCGACTACTGCGAGTCAGCAGTTAGATTGATTGATTTGATTGACACACCATTCAGCCTGTCGGCTACCGCCTTATCCACGAAGTGACCTATCATTGCTTTGGACCGCACTGATAGACTGTCCATAGACGGCTAGCCACACAAAAAAATAGTTTATTTTCAATTAAGTGAACTGTCGTATGAAAAAGTGGGACAAAATATTAAATTTGCGTGACACATTCAACATTAATTCAACAGACTAACATTTACCTGCTCATTTTGGAGCAGGTTTCAGTGTAATAACATATTTTCCCTCTTTAGATAATGTTACAGAGATACATTTAGGCAAATACACAAATTCTAAAGTGACTCCAAAGTAAATATCATGTTTAAGTGGAAAGGCATCTTCCTATAGGTGCTTTTGTTGATCCTTTTTGTCTCTACAAAAGGTCAACTTCAGAAAACACATCGAAAAGACATCATTCAAAAGGTAAATTTTCAATAACACTGCTCATTAAGATCAGTAAATATATGTGGAGTTTCTTCACTTTTTTCACAATATGGCAATCATTTACTAAAAACACTGTTGTCTCCTCTCTCTCATTGAAAGAGGAAGAGGATGTTAGGTGGGGAATGAGAGTTGAAAACATGGCACTGCACTCTTTGTCCGTGAAGCCCCTCAAAACTAGTGAATATAATGAATTACAAAAGACGCACTTGTTAGAATACAGGTGCAGTGTTCTCGAAGTTACATTCAACTGACACCTATCCAGCCATTCTTATTGCGTTTCTTGCTATGTGTTAACTTCACTGGTTGTTACCAAAACATATCACAGAGACAAATCTACACTGTTC